TCATATGTTCTAAAAAATTATATTCAGTAGCGATTTTAATTGAATATTTAGATTATTTATTTATTTTTTCAAATTAAAACTGAACTTTATTGACTGTGTCCTTTTCCAGACTTTTTATTAATTTATTGTAATTAATTATTTGCATGCAATTAAAAACTAATTTTAAACGATGCCAAAGAAGGATAACTTCTCACGCGCCTACATAAGTACACGCACCCATTTTTTTATCCGTTGCCATGGCTAAAAGTGAAAGGTGCACAGATGAGGTTGCGCACAAAAACGTAACGAGGTCATTAATGTCATTCATCGATAGATTTTTCTCATACCGGGCCCCTTATGTATGCAAATCGATTCTTAAGGAGTAAACTCTAATAATTACATTATTTTTGGTAAAATCGTTGTAGGCTTATTACATAACAGGTATGATTATTTAAAATATTGTTGTGTATTTTACATAAGTGGGTAATGAGAGATACTTGTTAGTGCTGGCTGCGCCCCGCGCTTATTCCTTCGATTAAACAGTGTGCAATAGACTAGCGAGTTTGACTGACGTTTTTCCCCTATCTATATACACTACAAAATATAAAGCAGAGAAATTAGCTTAGGCATAATTACTTTCACGAAACAACAATCTAATCTAACATTCTCAAGATACTGTGACGTTGTGATTAATTTGACATAAGTAATTTGTTTTTGTATAAATTATATTTTATATGTTTTGGAGTTTTCTTGTCACATCCACATTTTTATCTACAATGATTTTTGTAAGATATAATACATTAAAATTTTATGGTTTTGTCTATAATGGACTAGTACCGAAGGAAAAGAAAACCTATCATCCGGTGATATCTATATCTTTATATATATAATTCTTCTGTGAGTGTGTATGTCACTGAACTTCTCTTAAACGACTGGACCGATTTTGATGAAATTTTTTGTGTGTGTTCCAGGGGATCTGAGAATGGTTTAGATTCACAATTTTGTCCGCTGGACAACCCCTATTTTTTAGGGCGGTACGAAGTTCGCTGGATCAGCTAGTAGGTATATAAAACTCAAAGGTGACTGACTGACATAGTGATTTATCAACGCACAACCCAAACCACTGGACGGATCGGACTGAAATTTGGCATGCAGATAGATGTTATGACGTAGGCATCTGCTAAGAAAGGATTTTGATCAATTCTACCCCAAGGGGATAAAATAGAGAATGAAAGTTTGTATGAAAATTTGACAATTTAAACCGATCGGGCTGAGAATTTGCATGCAGGTATAAGAAGAATCATAGATGAATATCATTGTGTATAATACAAGCCTGAGAACAAAAACTGTAGTTTACACTTCAGCTCTACACCGAAGCGAAGCGAGGGAGGGCCGCTAGTTTTTCCATAAGAATCTAGGAAACGGAAATTATAGCTATTACAGCTTTAAATGGTAAAAATACCTATAGCTCTGGCAACTTTTATAATAAGATTTTTTATGACGATGAAAGACCTAACAGTGTGAATATTAAGACAAACATAAATAGAAATATTTGAATTAGTGGATGACTGCATAGTCACCAAAGTAGATGTGATGGGAAATGACAAATCTGCAATGAGCCCTGTGGTTCAGTTTGTTCAATTACCTTATAAGGCCACAACACGGTTCTTTTTAATTTCCCAACGGAGTTAGACTACGCGAAATAAAAGCAGTAAGGCGATTCAAATTAGACTAGATCATTTGAAACCAATTTGATTAACTTGATTGCTTTTATACATCATCTTAATAAGTTTACTTAACATTATCAATATTTATTCTTAATTATTGATTGATTGATATATAACTAAGAACAAAAATATTTTTTTTCCACACTTCTCAAGTGGCCAACAAGATTGCTTAAGAATGCTGCGATGAAGTTTTCGTGAAGATTGATAATAATGAAACGATAGTGTCGACATCTGATAAACGCAGATAGACGCTGACAAAGCCGAACATTCGTACATGTTTCTGGCAACTAAGAAGACAATCTTACAATCGTTGCTTTTTTTAGATTAATAAAATGTATTCAAATCATAGAAAAACACAAAAAGTGCTGTGTGATTAAAAGGAAAAGAAGTGAAGTGAAATTTTAAAATCTAAAAGTGATTATGACATTCCAAATCTTTCTATCGAAAAATTTATTGTGAGTGTTCAGCATTAAAAAGAAGCACTCTCTCGGCTTGTAGCAAACAAATCGGAGAAGAGTGAAATTAGAAGACAACAAACATTTGACAACTTCCGAAACGAAGATTCGTCCAAATATTTGTAGATATGCTTCTGCCAAGATCACCGATTTTCGGGCAACCAAATTATGATTTCCGGGATGAAACGACTACGTTCCCAAATATTATTGTAGACGGTGGTCCCGAAACCAGTACTGAGAATACCAAGTACGAAGACTCGAATTCATCAGGGGACCTCACACAAGTGGCTTTTTGGTACATGCTGGTCTTAGTTGGAATGCTGTTGTCTTGGCTGTTGATCTTCTTCTGCCTCCGGATCATCGCCTTAAGTGAGAACATTATGAATAATTTGATCACCTGACTGCCTTATCATTTCCTTATCGAACGAACGCTCGTTGAAATATCGATAAAATTATCAACAGAGTGAAATTACATTTTATCTTTAGTTTAAGAATTTATAAAGTAGATGAGATTAACTTATAGCAAAACTAAAGCAAATTTATACTAACTCCATAATAAGATTTAAAACTTACAATTTCACAGAACTCTTATAGTATAGAGTGTTTGGAAAAAAAAAATCCAAAAACTCTATATTGTGTTTTTAACTATTAAGCATTTCTGAATATAAAATTTTTCCAGTGGTATTATTCATACTTTATCAATAGGAAGGTTGAAGAAACAGTGTAATAAACAAAAGGATAATACAATTTCCACTAGAATGTTATAATAGATAAACTTAATCTTAGCCAGTTACATGATAAGAATATCATGTTTAGGTTAACCCAAAATAAAACCAATCAATTAAACACGACTGCGTTATGTTTGAAGGTTTCTCGATAAAGTTGTATAATAATGATACAATCATTATGATATTATAGAAAAGTATAGAATTTAGAAGGTGTTGTTCTTAAACACAACATTGTATGGGTATTGGATAGGTGGGATGTTGTTTATTAGGATGGCAGATGTTATGCATACAAGGTTGTTGTCTGTTACTTTTTTCTTTAAATATTAGGGTATTCTGATTATTTTCTATATCCCTAGATTCCAATAGTCCCGTCGCAGCCCTTGGTTCAATTTCCCCTATATGCTTTCTTATGTTCCCATCATCGCCACTTTCTCTTCGTCTTGAAGAATTATTTTCTTTTTTATCCCCTACTGTTCTGCGATGCTTCATCTCTCGACTTTTCGAGATTCCTCATCATTCCTCTGAATTCTCGTTGTACTCTCATTCAGTACATGTATCAGCTATAGGTATCCGCGTAAGTCGATTACACCTCTTTGCCCAACTTTTCGACGTACAGTGGTTGGTTCCAATTCACCAATCTGTCGACTGTACAAAATATATAATTGCTGTATTACTTTAAGCAGACTCAAGCAGCGGATATAGTTTTGTATCAGTCTGCAATAACTATAATGTCTATTTTTATTGGAACTGTCAAAATGTTATCCTGACTGTATTGTATTGTTTTGTTATTGTCTGTCTCTTCTTCATTGTAAATACTCGATTATTTTTTACGCATACTGTGTTAGCCTTAATATAACAAAACCATTTAGATATAAGACACCCTCATGTAGGTTTAGATTGTAATAATGTTTTTTTTTCTGGCGAACCTTATCTCTTATCTATTAGATAAGTCCGTCCGTCCGTCTGTGGTGCTGTTTCAGCGGCCAAACCGTAAGAGATAGATAAAGAGAATATTTAAGTTATAAGTTAAGAATAGTCTGATAAGACTACAAACCGGATTTGAGTAACGTAGCACTTCCGGTTTTCGAGAAATCACGAATTTCAAACGAAACCACACAAAATCTCCGAAGTTCTCAATTAATTATTTACATTTTTTTTATTAAATCAGGTTTTGGTGAACATTTGGTTCACTGGTTTGCTAGTGAATACATAATTAAATCTGTGTAAATCCCACCGGGAACAAAAAAAGCTTGTTTACTTCTTTAGCAATCAAGTAAATAGTAATTTCTTTATCTATTCATACCAAATTGTATTTATGTAGAAAGTTTTGCTTTTTATCTAATATGTCTTCAATTTTATATTTCCTTTACTATTTATCATTAAATAAACCTAAGAACGAAATATATTTATCATTATTTTTCCTTTTGTTTTCTTGTTAAGCAATATACCTACTTTTGTATTCCTTCTTCTTTATATGTGTTGCAGTAACTATTGTCTAATCTTGTATGCCAATATTATTATTTTTCAAAGAAACGGACTTTTTATCTGTCCATTTTTGATAAACCTGAATCCCTAAATTGTTTTGGAAGCCTGGTTGCTGCAACAGCATTTTACCTTCTGTTTCAAAGGACTTCATTCGAATTCTCGAATTCGAATCCATTTATCATTTATTTCTGTGTCCAGCACAAATATTTGATTTCATTTAATAAACTTAAATATTGTATCTGTTTATTTTCACTTATATTGCGACATTTTTTTTAAATAACTTTTTTCACTTTAGTACTTAATATAGGATAATTGTAAAAATCATAAAATACTTCAACATTTGTGCTAGGTGGCAATAATTCAATAAATTGAAAAAGTAACTCTGTTTACTTCTTAAAAAAAGTCAGTGAAAGTTTTTCTTCTTTTCCCAGTTAATCACCTTAGGTATTTTTACTATAAAAATACCAATTTAGGAATTTTTGTTATCCAGTTAAACAATGGAATTGTTTAACCCAAGTAAACAGCGGATGGGTTTAGAAATGAAAAAAAATGTAGGGCAAAGTTATATATAGAATTAAGGTAAGCACCATCGATCTATTCTCAAAGTCTTTCATTGTCGTTTCCAGGGCAGAAGACGCGCAGTTCGCAACAGAGGCGAGTGTGTGTGGGCCCCCGGACACGGCAGCTCTCAGTGCAGGAACCTTCCATCTACGTGAGTCCCGCCAACCTGCCGCCGCCCCCCAAATATGGTGAGCAACATTATTGGGTACCTAGACAACTAACCATTTCAATGAAGGGATCCTGAAAAAATCTTATAATCCAACTGAATTTTGCCAGCAATCTTAACCTAGATCCTGCTAGCTGGACCTAGCTTTTTGGATGACCAATCTGGTCAATGATTTTATTGGTACTAATGATTTTGAGTTAGATGGACTTGAAATTTTTACAAACGGCCCTCATTCTTAATCTTCTTTAAAAAGTTTTAAGAAAATTAATGAAAAAGAAAGACTGAGTGGATTACATGCAAGGTTATATTGAAAAATGTAACTGACATTGTAGACCATATTCTCTTATAACAAATTCGTGTTTAAATTTGGTATTATTATTGATAAATGGTCAATAAATAAATATTAAGAGATAAAGACACCAAAACTTCCAAGTTAACGAAACATCCATCCGATCCTTTCTATATTGTGTGTACTTTTAATAGAAATTTCATTCCATTTGATGTTTTATCAGTCTGCACATGACTTGAAGCTAAACCTACCAACAACTACTGACCAGTTTTTTTTGTTATTGTAGAAGCCATGGCTCCCCCAAGTTACGAGGAAGTGGTAGGCGTTCATTACCCAGGAGGATACCAGTCACAGCCAATAACACAACCGATCACACAAGCGCTTTCCACGGCGCAAAGCTCAACTAGTGCTGAACAAAACACCACATTAACTTCTACCTGCGAAACTACATCCGTACCTGCGCCTGCGCCTCCGCCAGCCATCATCACAGTCACTACCGAACAGAGGCGGACCTCAGTCACAGCCAGATCATGATTCCCATCTTAGCATTAAGTTAAAAGTGACGTTATAATATGCCTGCATAAAGTTTAGCGGCAATGTTGTGTAACCGCCAATTGTATAGCGCCTGCAAGAAAAAAAGAAGCAAAAATGCTGACAGCGACAGTTGAGAGAGATCGTTAGAAATATGATGTAAAATATGGCGAAAGTTGCGATTAGCAAAAGTTTGGATGAAACGAAGAATAACTTAATAATGTACCTAGTTAATTTTTTAATTGATAAATTGTGTAGGTACAAATTGAGTTTATCAGAGTTTTTGCTCTTTATTTTTGACAGGCACTTTACAATATTAGTGGTAATGTTACAATCAAGTTTGACATTTTGTAAAATGTCAAACCGTTACAACTTTTAAAATCAACGAACTTGTTATAGAATTACAGGTTCCAATAATTGTCTATAACAAATGAGAATATTGTAATAGGTATATTGAATTGAAGCATTATTTTGTTGAAATTTGTAAATACAAGAAGGTAGTCAGATATTACGAGTGTAATATTTTATTTATAGATTAAAATAAAAAACGTTGCTTTTTCCTTAGCCAGCGGAGATGTACCTAGGTATTGTAATTTAGTCTTCCAAACTTAAATCAAAGCAGCCTAGTCGACAGATAATTCTGTTTATTTTTATGTGATAAAGTTACCTAGGTATCTATTCATTTTAAGTAAATAGCAGGAACATACATTTTATGAACTTTAATTACAGCTGCAGTATTAATTTCATCAGTCATAGGGGTTTTCAATCTATCAATATCTAATTAGGGGTCGTCTGTTGATCACGTGTTATTTTTAGCAAATTTGAACCCCCCCCCCCCGTACCGTACCAGTGATATGTGGTACGGTTAGACCCCCCCTGTACCTAAATATTTCTTTTTTTAAATATATTGAAATTTTCAATATATGATAAAATTAGTTTTTACGGGTTAATGCACGAAACTTTATTTATTTATTGACGTTTCGTGCATTAATCCGTAAAAACTAGTTTTATTTAATGAGTGATGTGCGTGAAAACCTAAGAAACAAATATATGATAAAATGTTTTTTTTTTACAAAATATTTTTAAGTTTTCATAATATTTAATATGTCTCTTCTCATTCAACGAAAACTAAATACAACATACTCACTACCCCCCCCCCCCCCCCCCCCCGTGATATTTCGTGATTTTTTCCGTATGTGATTAATGGACGATCCCATACTGAATCGTTTTTTGTCCACCGTATTTTTAATGCAGTGAAATTCAAATTAGTCTTATAAGTAGTATTAGAAAAAGGCAAGTGCGGTTATTAACTAACAGTGTTATTAAAAATATTTTACGAAGGGCCCGATTTAATCAAAACTGACCAATAAAAAAAAATTTTTTCATTCGTCAGGTTTGCGGCCATTATTTCTTTTTGTAATTTTGTTGGGTGTCAGAATCAGATACTCGCAGAGTATCCAAAAGATTGCTTGCTTACGCGAGCAACAGCCTAAATCATCTAGTTAGGCATTATGAAAAATGTATCAAAAATGCATTTAAGAGGAGGGAAATTATAGATTTTTACCCTTATATAATTCGAGGACGCGTATCGGATTATACATGGGTAAAAATGAGATTTTTCTTTTAATATAGATCGGATGGATGACCGTACTTTAATGAGTACAGTTGTTCGAATCACGTTGTGGTGATATTTTGTGTATATTTTGTATAATGTATATAAATGAAATTATATTTTATTATTTGTTAAGCCAATTGTTGTTTACTTTCTTTTATACCAGAGATTATTAGATTATTGGTAGTCATCGGCAAGGTGAGGATAGCTGGAGTGGCATACCTTCTGCTGCATCATCTATTTTCACGCCTGGACTCCACTTACACTTAACATCAGGTGGAGTGGTGCACTAGAGTATTTGACAAGTTTTAGAAAACGATCTCACGGTATTGACTAATATTTATGGAGTCCGTCCGGAGTGGATATTCATCATTCTGTTGTGAATTGCAGTAAAAATAACCAAATCCGAAAGTCCATTTTCAAGTTGCCGCGAAAACGTTTCTCTTTACAAAATGGCGTCTTACTAGTGTGTGACGTCACACGACTGTTATTAAAACGTCAAACAATACAATGCAATGTCACTTTAACCGGAAGTTTACTTGCGTGTGACGTCATTTTAGGCTCGGCCAATCCCAAGCGTTTAGGGTCACGTGACAATAGATAAGAAAACTATTATCTTTATCGTTAGTTTTTAGTAAAATTATGAATATTTTTATTGTAAAAATAGTAAAAACCCCTGCCAATATTCATTCTAAACACAGATGCTAACAATTGGCACTTTATTTTTAACATTGTCAAATACCCTATTTGTTGTGCCTCGTATAAAAAAAAATGGGTGCGTGTACTTATGTAGGCGCGTGAGAAGTTATCCTTCTTTGGCATCGTTTAAAATTAGTTTTTAATTGCATGCAAATAATTAATTACAATAAATTAATAAAAAGTCTGGAAAAGGACACAGTCAATAAAGTTCAGTTTTAATTTGAAAAAATAAATAAATAATCAAAATATTCAATTAAAATCGCTACTGAATATAATTTATTAGAACATATGTGATTTGCACTTGTATGAAACTCAAACACGTATTCCGAATATACAAACTAGAAACATGTGGATAAATATTATAAATATGAATACCTATAACTGTTACTTTATTACAAAAAATAGAGATGTGGTTTTTGGTTCTACTACACCAATGGTCAAGAGATGGCGCTGTAGTCTCCTGAATCGCGCTTTGGTTCCGTTGTTCCAGATTAATAAATACTTTTTGTTACTTTATTACAAAAAAAAAGATGTGGTTTTTGGTTCTACTACACCAATGGTCAAGAGATGGCGCTGTAGTCTCCTGAATCGCGCTTTGGTTCCGTTGTTCTAGATTAATAAATACTTTTGATAGGCCTTCACAATGCAGTCGTTAGCACCCACAAAATAGAGATTATATTTCTATTTTGTTGGTAGATTTTCTTAATGTGCGGTAAACACAAAAGTAACACCATGAAGTTGGTCGCTTTAGCGAGTTAATTTTTTGTGTTACAGTGATGCGCGCGCATCTTAAAATTTCACTCTCATCATTTTTTCATAACGCGCCTAAAGAAGTATAACTTCAAAAAGAAGTTGCCTAATTGTAATTTCTGTTGTACACACGTTGACGTCAGGTTTACAGGCATTCTCACGCAGTTTCTGGCAAAATTTATTCGCGAATGCAGTCAAATTCAATAGCGATAAATTTAAACAATTATTGTCAAAAATGATGGAAGCCGCCGTTCTGCGTATAGACAGAGCGTGTGAGAAGCTAGCCACTAACGGTCTAGGGACGTTAATGAAGCAGTTCCAAGAGCAAAAAGCCTTTCGATCAATACACTACAGAATATAAATCTTTAAAGAAGTCTTTTGCAAAGTGGATAATACTTCACCAAGGAAGGTTCTACAATTTCGTGAGGTACTTATTAATAGGATAATGAGGAGCTCGATGGCGCTAGTGGTCAGCATGTTCGGCTGCGGTCGTTGAAGTTGAGCAACTTTCGCAGTGGTCGGTCATTGGATGGGTGACCAAAAATTTGTTATCTCGAGCTCCTCCGTGCTTCGGAAGGCACGTTAAGCCGTTGGTCCCGGTTGCATCTGCAGTCGTTAGCACCCACCAACACGCACTGGGCCCGCGTGGTGGTTCATGGGCCAATCTCCCTAATCCATCCATAGGGAAGGCCTGTGCCCCAGCAGTGGGGACACAAATAGGCTGATGATGATGATGATAACTTATTAATATGGTTGATTTTCATAAGATGACAAACAACCATACGGTTTTCCTGATGGTGAGTTGCCAATAGACGCTTGGATTACCAGTAGGCTTCAATGATCGAGAAGTCATAATATTTTTACATTAATCGGTTTGTCGGCATTTCGTAACTTGTCGGGACTCTGGAAATCTCATGAAATGTCGGGAGGATCAAGGCGATTCCCACCTAGCCACCCTATTTATCAGAGTATCACTTAAATTGACCTCTACCCCGTGGAGGTCTAAAAACCTAACCGAAAAGTTTTGTGGAATTGAACCATAGTATTTTTTTTATTCTGAAAAAAAAATGCCTTGAATTATTTTCAAATAAACAATTACAGAGTGTTTTGGTGTACTGTTTTAAGTTTCGTTTTAGACGGAAAGCTTTTACCAATGTTTTATTGTTTTAAACTTTCATGGTCACTAACATGATCACGGAGTAACAGTTACTCCGTGGTCATTGCTGATCGCGCTTGCAACAGTGCCGAAATATCGGAGACTCATAAAAAAACAAGGTACATGGTAACAATCCCGTTAATGTCTATAACTTTCATCAAAGTTACTAATTTCATAGAAGAACGGGCAGAAATGTATGGGACATGTACCCACCTTCCAATAACGATCAGCTGTATGTCGTTGGAGAGCACTTCTCATGTCTATCATTTACTTTTTTACTATGGGGGCAAGTCTCTATTCACTGTGAGAAAATAGTTGTTGCCAAAAAAGAATTAGAAATTAATGATTTTTTAGAGCTCCGTAGTCCTGACAAGGAATATAAGGGTTTTTTTTGGCCATGTCCGTCTGTCTGTCCGTCCTCGGTTTTGCTTGGAGTCTGTTAGCACTAGAGAGCTGTAGTTTTGTGGAGATATGTATATCAATCCCGCCGACAAAATGGTAGAATAAAGTTTCGAAAAGTATTTTTTAGGATAGGTAGGTAGGGTAACTTGGGGATGTTTTTTTTCATCGTCTACCCCATCGCTTTGGGTATCGATGAATAGGTCCTTTAAAATTTTTAAAAAAGGGGTTTTTAAGACCATGTTTGAATTTAGGGATCCGTTTGCGAAATATTCAACTTTAAAGTGCAAATTTTTGTTCGAGTAGGGCGTTCCCCCTCAAAACTAAAGTAATGGCTTGAAAATCTTTAAAAAAACATGGTAATAGTGATTTTTATGAACTTTTAAGGATAATTATAACGGTTAAAATAGATTGTTAGTTTAAGAGTAAATTAGTAGTTTATATTATGTTTTGGAAAAATTCTGACGTAATAAAAATGCCTTAGGAGGAAACATTAAAAGTGACTTAGACGAAGTAATTAAACCAAAATATATTGTGGTAATGACGACCAACTACGGAACCATGCAATGCGAGTGGCCCGATACCCACTTTGCCCTTTTTTTATTTTTCATTTAGCTGTAACTATTATTCTGGTCTCATTCTACCTGCATTTGACTTTCAGCAATTGAGAAAGATGCAATGATATCTATAACACAAAACACGATTAAGATCTTTGTTGCAAGTAGGCCTAAGAGCTTTTGTCTCCATTGAAGGTCCTCTAGAATTTAATAATTTCCGAAACCTAATATGACAAAGTAAGTTTTAATCTAAAGAAAATATTACTATAAAAAAATCCACGCGGACCAGGCAGCAGACGGGATTCAAACCCGCACCCTTCGCTATCCGGGCGAATGCACTGACCTTTATGCTACCGCGGCCCTACTGCCTGGTCCCCATCGATTTTTTTCTAGTTATATTTTCTTTAGATTTAAACATTGAGTGGTTGACAGATGTCTCGCCATTTTGAGTTTGTTTTGAGATCTTGGTAAAAAAAAATTGTATGGGCTCAACACTTAGAAAAAAAAGTAAATGTGGCTTTACAAAAGTCTTTAATTCAGAACCGACTTGGTCAACCCCGACACGCCGTGGTCTTGGTCTGCCCTACCTTTAGTGTTTTTTTTTAGAGCTTGGAGGCGCGGAGGGAGTGTAGCCTCCGCCTGCTGTGACAAAAGCTGCAAGCGCCTGAAGCTGGTCACCGCCGGAAATGGCGACCAACAAGCCGAAGGTGTGAAGGGGAGTGATTCTTGTGACTTTGTCACGCAAAGGCGGAGGGGCTAATATTTCCGCAGCGCCGGAGATAAGGCAGAAGTACTGGTTCTTACTTCCCTATTCCTTGCATCATAAAAAATAGGGAACCATAAATTCTGAACATTTAACAGATTAAATGAATTTTTCAAACAAACTGCATTGAAACTACTATAGACTATAGTTTCTAAATGTAGCCCTTCGTAAATCGATCGAAATAAAACCGAAGTCTGATTATTTAAATTTTAAAAATAAATACTAAACTATAAAACATGGTTTTATTATTACTCTACCCGATAATTGTTTTCATTACTTGTAATGCTCGGTCTATCTAACTAAGTATTCATTTGAAAGTACTAAACATGCTTTACATTACTCTGCCCAATAGGCGCTGGGCATTATTCATATTGCCCGGGCATTATGAATAATGCCCGATAAATCACTTAGATCATAACAGTTACATGCTTTAAAAATTATTAGTAAGTAAGTAAGTTTAAGTTCAAAATATAAGCCTGCAGTTAATATATGTATCAATCCACATCGTATGTCCATCATATAAATACGTTAAGTCTTATAAGGTGAAGGAAGTTATTCGAAATCTTACTGAATATGCTGATGCCGATGAGTGATAGAATGTAATGATTCGCCTAATTAGACAGCTGTTCTAGCTATGCGGACTGGTAATTAAATCAAATAAGGTCTTAAGATTACTGTTTTTGGTATTAAACGAGGTGCGCAAGTACTTTTAATGTAAAGACGACCTCCGTGGCCTAGTGGTTTATACGCCGGGTTATATGGTGTCGCCAACGCGAGATGTTCCAGGTTCGAATCCCGGTGGGGGGTAGATGTTTGT